TTGATCGCGCTTCTCGTGCTGGAAGGCCGCGGCACGGGGGTGTTTGGCCACTCGGACGCGTCGACGAACTGGCTTATCTTTGGCTGTGGCGCGGCGACGATTCTGCCGCAAATTGCCTTTGTGTCGTGCCTCAAGTACATTACGCTGTCGCTCCTCGGCATCGTCCAGTTTGTCGGCCCCACGATCCAGACGCTTGTCGGCGTCTTCATGTACGACGAAGACTTTGGCTCGATGAAGCTCGCCGGCTTTATCTGCGTGTGGATCTCGCTCGTCATTTTCACGGTTGACGGGCTCCGTGCCAAGGCGCCCGAGCCGATCGTCGACGACGCCAAGGTCAGCGACAGCAGCGAAGACGCCACGAGCTCCGACAACAACTCCAAGGCCGAGTACCGCGGTATCGTCGACGCCCGCGTCTAAGCGTGTCGACAGTTATTAGTTTATTATGTCGAGTCAATAGAAAGATAGTCTTGTACAAATCATGTATCGAGTCGATGCTTGGGATGCGGTTCAAGATCGCGCAACCGTGTCGCACGCAGGTGCATATCCTGGGTGCGACGGGTTCATCCTGGAACCCCTGCGTCCACGCGTTGTGGATAACGTGAAGAGTATGTGGTGGCAGCCATTGCCGCATACCGCTGCGATGACTCAATCGAGAAAGGCTGTGTCATCATCGCACATGCGTGGTAGTGGCGCCATCCGGGTGCTGTGGAGCGCCGTGGGAAACCGGTGCACCGGTAGTTACAACCGACCTCGATGAGAAGACACTATCGGTTCAGAGTCGATTAGACAGCAATCGAGACGGGCATCTATTGCATCCTTGCATGCACAGAGAGGTCCGGCCGCTAAGAACTTAGTTTCGTCCACCGAGAGGTCTACTACGTGTATATCCAGCGGTCGAGGGATGTTTTTTTGCGTCAAACGCGGTTCCATCCCGAGACGACGTCGAGACACGCCGCAAGGCCGTTGGGAGCGACATCTCCAGGAGCACCAGTGAAGCTGAAACCAACCGATCGAAGAAATGCTGGAAATGTAGCTGTCTTGGTTTCTCGAAGCCGCTGGGAGCCGCTGGATGGCATGGGAACTCCAAGCAGAAATCGACGGCCATGACGTGGCCCATTTCCGAGGTGGCAGAGGTGGCACTCCGTGGGACAAAGCGTCGCAGCTACCTATGTTAGTGATATAATAACGATTAAATATGCACATTTATAATGTATTCTACTAAGAATATTGTATGCCGTTTAAATAGTATACCACAATATGCATTTTAATCGTCGACCTAAAGTGCTAATGGTCGGGACGCGGCGATCCATATGACGCGTCAAAACGCTCCCCGGCTGCCACGTGGCAGAGCGTTAAAGTGGCGCATGGACGTTAAAGTCCACTTGAGGCTTTTTAACCTAGTGAACGCACATGAAACAAACTCGCTTTTTCGAAAAACCGTTGCATGCTTCAAAATTATCCGCGGGAACCGGGTGAAGTTCATGTCGCGCCTGCCTTTCTACCGGCACCACAGGTCCACGCCCACAATTCGACTCGTGCAACATGAGTGACGTGCGGACTGGCGTCGGCTTTGCCGTCTTGGCGTACCTCCTCTGGGGCTTCCAGCCCATCTACTGGAAGCAGCTCCTCGCGATCGACTCGTACCAGCTTGTCTTGCACCGCGTCGTGTGGTCGTTTCCGGTGCTCGTGCTCTTCCTCATCGCCACGGGGCAGTTCCGCGCGTGGCTTACCGCCGCGTGCACGCTCAAGACGTACAAAATCTACTCGATCTCGGCGCTCCTCCTCGGCGCCAACTTTTTCCTCTCGCTCTACGCCGTCAACTCGGGCCAGATCCTCCAAATGAGCCTCGGGTATTTCATCAACCCGCTCTTTAGCGTCGTGCTCGGCGTCATTTTCCTCAAGGAGCGGCTTCCAGTGCTGCAGTGGGTCGCAGTTGGCATTGCTGCCGTCGGCGTCCTCATTGTCACCATTGGATACGGTAAATTCCCTTGGATCTCGTTCTCGCTCGCCGCCGTCTTTGGCGTCTATGGCCTCGTCCAAAAGAAGGCACCACTCAACGGCCTTCAAGGCGTCTCGATCGAGCTCATGCTTCTCTCGGTGCCGTGCATCATCATCCTCATCGTCCTCAATGAGGAAGGGTCCGGCGCCTTCGGTCACTCGGGCGCCAAGCTCAATTGGCTCATGGTCGGCTGCGGCCTCGCAACGATCTTGCCGCAACTCTGCTTTACGACAGCGCTCCAAACGATTCCGCTGACGATTTTGGGCATCGTCCAGTTCATTGGCCCGTCCATCCAGACCATTGTTGGCGCGCTCATTTACGATGAAGATTTCTCGATCACCAAGGCCGCAGGCTTTGGCTGCGTCTGGGTTGCGCTCATTCTGTTCACGTACGCAGGCCTCCGAGCGCGCGCCGCGGCCAAGTCGGTGCCAACCGTCGATGTCCAAGAGAACCAAGCGGCAACGACCGACTACCACGGAGCCAACGACACAAGAGTGTAGACTCTCATTACCATCATATAAACCGTAAACTAATATGCTAGTATTCAACGTAATGTGTGGCATCTTGGTACCGAGATCCCATCCGTCGACAGAGTTTTCTCCTTGCATGTTGAAGGGCGGTGCGTCAAGGCCCAAAGAATTACGTATTGGTAGGAACGAATCCAGTGCGCCCCAACCTCTCGTCGGTGCACCCAATAATCGCGCCCAATGTCGCGCGCTGTGGGAGAATGAGTTCACATTTGAGACTCTTCTTCTTCGCAGACGCTGTCGCCCCTTCTTCTTTCATCTTTCGTGGGTTACCACATTTTTTGGTGCAATAGCTGCATCGCAGTTTGAATCGTGATCTATACCAGAGAGAGCGGCCTTCCACAGTATGAAGATGCTCTCTCATTCGGGGACGTACGAGGGTTTCGCATGCCAAGTGTGTCATATCGTATGGTCTCGCAGCCAATATATTAGCACGACTGTCATAACGACCACGGACAGTGTGATGCAATTCCGCGCATTACAGTACCCAACCCGTGCTTCGATCCTTGCAAGGATTCGGTGGCCCACTACTCAAGCAGTCGGGCTTCTTTGAGACCCGTGGCCAAGTTGATTCGAATCCACAAGCCCTACGCAGACACAATGCATCACTGTCATGCGCATTGACGAAGCGCGAATGCACCCCAGGTAACTGCTGGCCTTCCTCGATCGTCTTCCACTCGTTCGTTGGCTCAAAGAGGTTGATGGCGGCCGGCGCCTTGGCGCGACCCGCCGGAGCCGCGGACGCCTCATCACTCGACACGAGCATGAGCGCCGAACCCATCGACGGGCTGCGCAGCCGCGCTCCTTGGACCGCGCATGCGACAGCGGCGACAAGCATCAAGGTCGTCCGCATCGTCCGATGTTGTTGGATCTTTTTCCCTTTGCCTTTTGGCCTCCGAGCACCGTATTGGCTGCCAATGATAGGCTGCTATTCTTTCCCGTCGCCTCTCGATAGCTAAATGTATCCTCCAGCATTCCTAAATCGTACATTTATAGCTATGGACATGTACGTGGCGCGAGCTCCTTGCGTCTCGCGCCAAGTTTGGTGTCTTGTCCGTTGGTTCGTTGGTGTGTCGCCCGGTCCTTTGTATCCACCATCCAACGACACAAGCCATGGACATCGTGAACCGATCCAACTCGGTCGTGACGACCTCCTGCCGTGCACCTGATTCCCAACCGCGCGCTAGGAAGAGCGACTGCTCGTCTTGTTCATCGACGCGTCGGACGAGATCGTCACGCATTTTCCAACAGCGTGGCACCGTTTACTCCGGCCTCCCACCTCTCACGGCTATCGAGTCGTTGAAGCGGCTTCCGCCTCTTCCTGGCCCTCCAAGTGCGCCTGCACTGACGGCAGTCGTACGTCCAGCACAGATATGACTGACGCGCATGAGCGCACCCAGCACGTTTCTACAGCGTCGGGATGCGCTCCCAACCCGAATGTGGTGTGGCGTCCTTCTATCCGGATGATGGGCTGTCGTCCGGATACGCATGTCCCGCCTGCGGTCTCTCACACAACATTGGGGGGCGAAAAACCAGGCAGCGATGGTCCTCCTCCGCTTCTACCTTGCGCTCGCGACGTGGGCAACGGCCGCCGTCCTTGGCCAGCACCCCGAGTTCCACGCAGCGTGCGCTAGCAACAAGGTCGAAGTCGTCGCCGGGCTCCTCAAGACGAACCCGGAAGTTCTCAACGAAGTCGGGCCCGAGGGCGGGCAGACGTGCCTCATGCGCGCGTGCCTCTTTGGCTCGGTCGATGTCGTCAAGCTTCTCTTGACGTACCCGGGCATTGATATCATGAAGGGCGAGAAGGATGGGTACACGCCGATGCACGGCGCCGCGTACCAAGGCCGCCCGGCGGTCGCCAAGCTGCTCTTGGAACACGGCTTGAGCCCGACCGAGCTGCACAAGGACGGCTTTGCGCCGTTCCATCGCGCGGCGTGGGGCGGCCAGCGTCGCCACACCGAGACGGTCCGTGTCTTCCTCGAGGCTGGCGTGCCCCGCGACTTGAAGACAGCAGACGGGCTCACAGCGGTCGAGATTACAGAAAATTACTACACGCGCCGCATGCTCCAGAACCTCCAGCCGATCGACGAGCTCTAGTCGATACGAATACCGTATCGACAACGACGAAGAACGATTTGTTTCGAAAGAAGCTTGTGGATGCTACTCGTTGCTTGTTGTTTCTTCGAGTACAGGGTACTCTCGACGTGGGCGGATGGACACCGCGTCCAACAGCAAGACTGCATACAAAGTGCAAAGTCGCCAAGGTGCCACGTTTCACCGCGATCCTCGTCTGAGTTGGCGCAGTTGTGCGCGACGGAGCGTCGCAGCTACCACTCCCAGCCGCCGCACACCGAGTACCCGCGGCAGCTACCTCGTTCGAAAAAGTGCCCCACTCGCGCGCGGCGGCTCAGATGCCCTCGACGGCTTCTAGTGTGGCTTCCCGGCTAAATTTTCGACCGTATCAGGTCACGGCTGCGTGCACCACCCATGGACATCGTTGGCATCTGCGCACGCTGTCTCGTGATCGGATCGCACAAGCTGGAAGTTGGGACAACACGACGACGACGCGGTGTCGGCACACGCTTCTTCTGGCGCCAAGGAAACGGTCTCTGGCGGCTCGAGCTACTTGAGCGTGGGATCATTTGCGTGCGTGGTAGGCCCCCTTCCGTTTTCTTGTTGCCGCGCTTTCGCTGGCCACGGATGATGTGGCATGTTCGCTTCAACTTCTGCACGCTTGTGTAGCGGCCAATCCAAGGTACCTGTGCCCAAATCGCGCCGGAAAGTGGAAGGATCTTTCTTCGTGTCGCACTCAGCTGCTTGAAACCTGAAGTTTCCGGCACGGATCGGCCCATCCTCTGCTTGGCCCGCGTTGCTACTGCTTGCTGTTCGGGCCTCGATATTTGAACTTGGGAAAAACAGCCTGCAATACGACGATGCGGAGGTTGATCGAGAAGGCGCCAACGACAACGCGGCTCCCATCGCAGCCTTCGATGCATTCCGTGTCGCCTGCCATCTCGGCTGTGGCGCAGACACCTATTTTACATGCAGCACGTGTCGCTTCAGTCAGTCAATGGCTACATCCTGAAGTTTGGTCCAAGTCCCCCTCTCTGGTCATACCGTAGGGTGTATCACGCGTCACTTGGATCTTTGTTTCTTCGTTCTCTTGACACACGGGTCAAGTCGCTTTGTCCCATGTGACACGGCCCAGGATTTTTCGAGTGCTTGAAAAATTAGGCCGGCCATGCCCTTCGTCGTGCGTCCAGCGCTTCTCTCGATGCTGTTCCTACGGCGTTCTAGCCCTTCGATCGCTCTCGTCGAAGCGCCTCTATCGTAATGGCGTGTGCAACTTTACATTTCATAAGCCCCTTGCCGCCAATGGCGTCGACGTCGCGGGGCCGAAACCATCTGCTTGCAGCCTGCGTGGATCGTCTTTTTTTGAAACGCTCAATTCATCATACAAACCACAAGTGACACGGGCATAAAAACACGATGGCCGAGGGATGGGTACCGTGTACATTGTAGGAAGTACGCGCGCTGGCCATAGGGCTTGATCCAACCCTTCGTTGCCGGGCAAACTTCTGGACGCAACTGCTACGGTCTTGACACCGTCGGCGTCTCACTTCAGTTTTCACCCGCGACCCCAAAACCCAAAACAACCATGACCTCTGAGACCCGCAAGCGCAACCGAGCCGCGGCTGACCGCAAGTACTATGAGAAGAACCGCCAAAAGGTCCTTGCGCGCCAGAAGGAGTACTATGCGCGCCACCGCGAGGCCGAGCTCCTCCAAGCCCGGCGCTACTACGAGTCGCACAAGGACAACGTGCTCGCGCTCAACAAGGAGTACCGCCAGCGCCACAAGGAGCGCGAGCTCGCGCAGGCCAAGCAGTATTATGTCCACCACCGCGAGAAGGTCCTCGCGCGCAAGAAGGAGTACCTTGCCGCGCACCGCGAGAAGATCAACCAGCGCCGGCGCGAGCTGCGTCTCCTCAAACAAGCCAAAGCGTCGCCGGTCGTGTCCAAAATGTCGCTCGCGTTTCTTCTGAGCCCATAAGCTCTTACAAGCCGCCCGTAGTAGTAGACCCATCTGTAGTGTAGTGTGTAGTTATCGCGCCGCTTGCTGCCGAGTATCCTTAATAAGTTAAATCACCGCCTTTCCCTTTCTGAATTGCACGATGAACGTGCTATGAACGTGCTTTGGGACGAGAGATGTGGCTACTTATCTCGTGTCCCTTGGGCGCACGTGATCGATCCGAGCAGAACGACCACGGTGTCGTCAACTCCCCTTCCTTCCTCGTCTTGCGACATCAAAGAGGCCGTTGCGGCCCGTTGACATCTTGAATGACGACATTGACAAAGCGAGCCTTTGAACGACCGAACAAAAGAAGCTGATCGCGCCTCCACTTGGAACGTCGAACAACCGAACAACAGAAGCGTCTTTTCAAACGACTCGAGTTTGCATCAAAATGTGTCCACTGGGTTCGCCGACTGGCCACAACCGCGCTTAAACCCGTGACCGGTCTCAGCGCGGCACTGCCACCGGCTCGGTAAGCTCGTCCGAGAACGCTTCTGGTCTGCACCAAGGAGGATTCGTAGCCTGCTTCGCGAGCCGACTACATATGGGGCGTGAAAACATACAAAAGAAAATGCCTGTCTGCGCGCCCTCATGCGTCGAGGAAGCAAGGTACGGAGCCCAACACATCCCCCATCCCATCCCATAGCCGCAAAAGACGCACAACCAGCACAACATACAAGATGCGTTCACGTTGCACTGTCTGCCTGTCTGCGTGCAGCACCCGACACCTCCAAGCACTGCATCGTAGGATTATAGTAATCAGCGATGGCTCGTAACGGCTGCACGGTCCTTCGTCGCCAGTGGAGCCGCAGCACTTGTCGGGCGCGGACAGATTTGGGCTTGGAAGACCGAGCCCTATCAGATGGTATCCAATCATATGGCTCAATTGACACGGCACGAATCATGGAACGGGAACGTCGTCGCCAGAAGAAGAGGAAGTCCTGGCGTCAGGAGTCAGGCGGTTCGAAGGCGTACATGCACAGCAGAGATGGCAAAAGGACGCTACCAGTGCGAGGCTTCAATTCTATGTTGGTAACGTAGGAACGACGGCCATTTATGTGCGGGACGAGTCGCAGCTGCGGCCTATCCAAAAGAAATCCCCATCGGTTTGACCGTTTGCAATCAATCACCCGCAGCACTAGTATGACCTTGTTTGTATTGTTATCGTCTTTGAGGGTAGGAGGGTCGGCAACGAGAGCATATAGCTCGCCTACGGTATCGACGTCGTGACTCGCCCTGGTATCAACGTGACTCGCTCTGACATGGGTCGCTGAACCGGTAACTGGCCGTGTAACTGGCATTTCGTCGATAGCACTTCATCTACTACGGTACGAGCGCGTCCCACTGCGTCATCGCAGAATGCATCGAAGGTAGTTGTACGACTAGTATGGATGCTGGGCACCGAAATACAACCACCTCGCGTCAGTCCTGAGCCTCAACAACACTCGTCTATGTGCCATCGCTCAAGCTTGAAGATATCTACTGACGCAGCTCTCGAGCAAGTGGCACACACCCACGGTAACCACACGATGCTACAAATCAAAGAATCCGATAGCAAGGCTGCTGGCAGCACAGAATCGGTACAAGTCCACTAGATCTGTGACGCCGTTGAAGCATCAAACACCCTTTCGACTCGAATCGGGCGGATGCTCTCGAGGCGCAGGGCTTGGCTTTGCGTCGTGTCGTCGTGTTGGCAGGAATGGCTACGGACGGCGCGCGCTCTACTTCCTCCTTCTACTCGTTCTCGCGTTGTCAACGTCGCCAAGTGCACGCAGCCTTCG